AGCCAAACGCGAGGAAAATAGAGCGTTTTAGAAATGCAATCATCGTTAAATCATAGTTTAATTCTTTTATTCCTTTCTAGGCTTTGACAATTCGAATAAGCGGGTGGACTAAGTAATTCACTTGAAAATGGATCTCACATCTCTGTCTATAGCTACATGACTACGGTATATAGTTTTGGGCGGCTTTGGTGCTGCCTTTTGACTATCGATATGTTCAAGCCATTTCTTCATACTACTTACCGTAGTCGTCAAGGATACAAATCCGTTTATGATTGAGAATTTGAATTCGAGAACGTCCTTCAAAATGATTCATAACTTAGAGAGATGTAGTAATTACAGATTTAATGATCAAACAATCCCTTTTATGAGCACCCTGTTGCGAAGGTGCCGCTTATTTCACGAGAACATACTAGAGGAAATACATTTGTTATACGCAGCTTCATGGAGAAGATTTCTCACCAAAAACTCGATTTTGGGCAGTCCGTTACCAATATTTCTGCATCGCAGCCAACATTGTTGTGAACGCTTATGAATACTGCTTTAGGTGTTTTCCCAATCCCAAAGCGGCGAAATCTTGAATTGCGCTGATCTGCATAAGACGACTAATTGAAATCCAGTAAAATCCTCAATTCTTAATAGTTGCGGCTTATCTTAGTGCTAGTAGGTTTGTCGTAGTATAAAATACGCATCCACGTGATAGTCGTTTTGGTGCCTTATCGGACACGCTACCCAGACACATATGTTTCATCAGTCTCCTGTGAAATATAGTGAGCAGTAGAATGTCAAAACAACACAATTGTCTGATATGCTAGGTTGTTGGATAGGTTTGTACCTTTTTTCAGACCCAAAGATTTTCTGAGAGACGGAACCTTAGGCAATCATAAGTCATTTAAAGAAGTTTCCGTCCACAGGTCATGTTTGGCTTATCCACTGGTTTCGGTTGGGCTAAATTAATTACTAGTGAATGAACTAAAAGTTTGAAGGGCCCAAGAAAGCTCAGTCGATAGCTTACATTTTTGAAATACAAAGAATTGCGACAGTCCTACCTTGTGGGTAATCGGATATGCATTACGGAAATCATTTACATCCCCATGCTAGGGCCATACACATACAAGGGTTAAAATTGCGGACTTGTTTGAAAAGTATTATGGTAGAATTCATTGACATTCTGACTATAAAAATAATAGCCGTATCGCACAATAAGCCTCACTTTTAGATTAGGGT